GACTGAGTGAAGATAGCCAAGCAACACGTTACATGAAAAACAATTTCTTTATTTGCTCCTTGGAGGCGAAGGAAGATTTTACATTGTTGAGAATGTTTCAGATGCGAGTTTTAAGAGGAAGCCACGGTGCAGACACGGATATGATGCGACTGTGGATACCGTTGTTAAATGGGGTAGAGGTGACTCAAAGAGATGTTGCCTCATGCGTTTCAAGCAGCTGTGTGCCAAGCTTTCCAGAAAAGAGAAGAAGAAAATGAGTTTGGCAATTTTCCTTTCTCCCGCAGAGGAATAGTTATGAGTGGCCAGCAGATGCCACTGTTGTCAGTAGATACTTCTTCAAGGTTCAAATACAAAAAGAAAATGAGGCATTACAGAAAATGGGTAAGATGTAGCAAAGCGATTGTGTTATCTTTAAAGAATAAGGGGATGACAGTGTTGCACAACTGGATCTTATTACTTCCTGTTTCAAAAAACATCTAGTTCATTCTTGGTAGCTAAAAGACGTGCACAAAATTAACAGGAAAAAATTAACAGGAAATGGTGAGTCTTCTGTGTTTGAAAATAATAGTTGTTTTTAAAAGTTAGAAGTTTAGGCAATGAACTTGGTTGTTGACTGCTAGCTAATGTATTAGCCAAGATACATTCCATCCTGCTTTGACAGCAAGGAAGAGGAAAACACAGCAATTCTGTTCCTTTTTCTTGTTGTTGTGGCATCTTAGAGCCGTTCATATTCATCAAAGCAGCTCTCAACTGTAATGAGCCGTCCTGCACAATTTGTTATGTTATTACGCTCTATGTCAATGTTGTGTTTTTAAAGTAACATAAAACAACTTGATGAACACAGATCTAACTGTTATTTTCGAGAAAAAAAGTACATTAGTCATTTTCTTCTTCTAAGGCAGCTTCACAGATTCCGCAGTGGGCTGAATAAGATGTTAACTAACTCTCCAGAGATATTCGCATTTTTCTGAACATCGCATCAATTCCTCCAAAAATCCGAAAACTACATTTCACATAGTTTTTTCATGCATTTTCATGTGCAGCCAATCTCCTGAGCATTTTAATGCATTCACCATAAAACACAAGCTGTAACCAGGTGGTAGACACTCTGATATTTGCTGTCTGGGGGTTCAGAATAAATACAGTTTCCACTCTCAGGTGAAGTCAGAGGCAGAGTGGAAAGGAGAGCTTGGTGTGTAGACGGATCTGCACTGTGCTACACAGTTTCTGCGTTACTGATAAATGGATCCATACATCGGTGATGCCCATCAGGTGTTGTAAGGAACAAAGAAGGACGGAGAGTATCAAAGTCTGGTACAACATAGTGGCTGCATGAGCCTGAGGGCTCGCTTTTAGGCAGATAACACAGTCATGGAGAGCAGGCAAGATGTGTGGTCAGAACTTTATTCACTCAGAAAGCAGAGAATGATAGATGACGTAAGAAAGGAAGAAAACACAGGTAACATTTGAAAGATGTTCCAGACAGATCGGTCTGGGAGGAATTTATGGAGGAGAGCGCGTTCAGTGAACGTGTGAGAGAAGGCCAAGTGGTTAAAGGCAGAACCGTGAGATGATTCCACAGCAGACAGAAATATAGTGGGGCTCAGGAGGAGTGCAGGAAGCAGGGCGCTCTCCGCACGCCCCCTCCCACCAGCAAACTCGAGTCACTGGGAACTGAAACACTGCCAGGCGGGTAAGTGGCAAAACTTTGGAATCTGTTAACCACATCACAGCTGTGTAAGAGAATAGCTTTCTTCCTAGGAAGCGCACGCTAAAGAATTAAGGGGTAAAAGGTCACGAGCTAATCAATCTACTCTTAAAGGATTCAGAACAAATAACACGTGCTAACACGTGTGTACGTCTTCTCACATAACACGAGAAGAGAATGATAAGCAGATGTGGCAAACAAGCAACATCAGGGAATGCGGATTAAGGGGGGCAGGTCACTGTACAACTTTTTTAGTAAGTTACAAATGACATCAGCATTTACAGATGGAGATGTGTAGGTAACTTAAATGAACTCAAAAGAAGACAGAAAAAGGGGGAAAGAATAATGAGGGAAATAGAACACAAATAACAAGGAGTCAGACGTGGGTCAAACCATATCAGTAATTGGATGAAGTGTAAACGACCTTGAATTCTTTAAGACAAATAAGGAAAGATTCTTAAACTGCATTTAAAAGTGAAAAACCATGGCCAAATTACACGCCAATTTCCAAGGGACACATTGTAAAAGCAAAGGTAAATGCTTGTTAAAAATAAAAGAAGAATGTGAATTAATGCTATAACTAGTACTCAAACAGTACTTTACACTTTGTGTTTCTGTGTGGGTGCAAACTGCTGAAATCTTTACGTAATATATACTAAATTGATCTTCTGTATATAAAGATAATTGCAAATGAATCTTGATGTGAATGGAATGGGAGAGGGAGCGGGAGATGGGAGGGGTGCGAGTGGGAGGGAAGTTATGGGGGGGGAAGCCACTGTAATCCAAAAGCTGTACTTTGGGGATTTATATTTATTAAATAAAAGTTAAAAAATAAAAAATAAGAGACATATCATGCAAATACCAATCAAAAGAAAGATGATGCCATTATATTGATTCTAGGCGATGCGGATTTTAAGGCAAGATGCAGTATTAGCGATAAATGCAAATATCTCATGAAGGTAAGATGGTCAATTTATCAAAAAGACGTCACAATCTTAACTAGGCATGCATCTAGCAAGAGAGAGCTTCTAAATCCATGAGGAAGAACTGGCAGAAAAAAGGGAGAAAGCGACAAATCCAAAATTATAGTTGAAGAATTTAACACTAATAGTCACTAATAATTTATATTATGGTAATAAAAATAATTGTTATACTGAGAAACTCACAATTGATTCTATAATCAGAAAAATATTTTCAATGATTAATAATGTAATTAGAAAAAATCAACAGAGATGCAGAAAAGAGTTGAACAATGCATAAACTGGACACCATTTTCCTTACTAGAAGACCGCACATAATTTCTGAAAAGTCCTCACTCTTTGCCAGCGGCTGTGGAGTGCGTACCAAGGCAGATCCCATACCCAACCTTGACTGAGCCATGTCACTGCACTTCCTGGAGCCAACCCCTCCCTTCCCAGCTCTGTGAAGACACCAAAAGGAAGTAGCTCAAGCAGGGCCCAGAGGAGAGCACCTGTGGCTCCGTGGAAGGGGAGCTGGGGCCTCTGGAGTGAACTGCGAGGCTGCAGAGACCACCAGGACACCCGCTCGCAGGAGTGACACTGAGACGAAGGAGGGGGAGCCAGCAGGGACAGGGGAGCGAGCTGGGGTGTGCTTGTTCTGACAGGCGAGGCGGGCAAATGGGTTCTGACAGAAGAGAAGCACGCAGTGAGGAGGGGAGGACAGTGGTCATCCTGGGGAGTCCTGGAGAAGTCGGAACGGGAGCAGCAGGACTGCAGGCGGAGTGACTAATTCTGGATAGGAAACCCTTTTTCTTAAAGAATAGAGAAGGGGCTGGCGTTGTGGTGCAGCAGGTTCAGCCACTGCCTGCAATGCCAGCATCCCACAGGGGCGCTGGTTAAGCTGCGGCTGCTCCACTTTCAACCCAGCTCCTACTAATGCGTCTGGAAAAGCAGCAGAGCTTGGACCCCTGCCACGCACGTGGGAGACTTGCATGGAGTTCAGGCTTCTGGCTTTGGCCTGGCCTGGCCCTCGCCATTGCAGCCATTTGACATTTGGAGAGTAATCCAGCAGATGGAAGATCTCTCGTAATGAAATATAAACCATCTCTATCTCTCTCTCTCTCTCCAGAATAAATGAGTAAAATTAAAAAGAAGGGAAAAATATAGCTGCCGGGAAACACTTCCTCTTAAACGTGTGACATACAGAGAATTGTCTACACTGCTTGTTAATAATTCGCAACACTTAATTTAAGGGGTTGTACAAGACAGGCTTCAAAAAGTTCATGGACAGTTGGAATTAAATTTTTAGATTAAAATTGTTAGATCCCTTCGTATAACACAAAAGCCTGATTTTTGACAAGCAAGCCTCAAGTGCTTTAAGTCACATCCACAGATGTAACCTCTTTGCATTTACTTGGAAATATGGATGCTTATTTTATTCCTTTGTTTCTTTTTTGGGGGTGGCAAGTGCAGAAGGAGGTAGAGGGGAAAGCCTAAGATGTCAGGAAATTGAAGGGGTTTCTTTCCAATGGCCTCCTTACTCAGCGAGCAGAAAGCCGTATTCTCTACAGAGAACCTGGGAACAGAAGAGAGACCCGTAACTGAGCAAAGCAAGGACAGCACGGAGCAGCCACTGCGGGGAAAACGAAGAGAACACATCACGGCAGCCCCCAAGTGGACTTATCTTTCTCTTATTCTTGCTTTGATAGGAATTTTTAAAAACCTGTTCTATCAAAAAAGAAAAACCCTAAACAAAAACCAACAAAGATGATGAACAAGCAATTCTCAGACAAGAAGGGAAGGACAGGTGGGAGGATCCCTTGTACCCGCAGACCGTGAACCCCACGCTGGACCCCTCAGCTCAGAGAAAAAGTCACGTGCCACTGAGAATGCGCACTAACGGGATTCCCACTACGCCAGTGGCCACTTAAACTGACCAAACCACTTGACGAGGCCCAAGGCAGTTTCTAAGGAGGTGGAGGATGCACGGGTGGTTGGCCGGGGTCTGCCCCTGGCCTTGGATCCAGGGTCCCCACCGCCCACCTCCATGTGAGCGGCACCCAGCCCTGTACCATGTGATTTGCCTGTTCAGCTGCCGGGGCGGACAGGACTGCTCGTGGGAGCACACGCTGGAGGAGAGGCTGCAGCCCCAGTCTTCCCACGCACAATTCTCAGGCCAGGGAGAGGACTGACACCAGACAGAAGCTCCTTCCACCCCAACCACAACAACTGAAACAATTTGTGCTTTAGAATTTCTCAGGTGGTTTTAGTTACAGATCTTGGTGGTGGAGAACTTTTTTTTACATGTAAAGACAATGAAAACAAGTGCTAAATACACACAAGTATGTTTTTTATTTAAATGTTTATAAATTATAAGATTTTAATTATGAAACAAAATATGTGCAACATATTGCTATATACTGTTACTGTGTGTCACTGGTCTAAGGCACATAGTGCAAAATACTTCTTTTCTGATACAGAGATCCCCAAATGTTTATTTAACTACACTGGCATGAAACTTCTTTAGTACCTTATATGATACAATATATCCCTCATGACTGTCTGGGGAAAAATGCTTTGTGGGTAAAACTAGCACACTACTATTTACTGGCAAAAAAATCTATTAGTAGATTCCAGTTTCTTTTGGTTTACCGAGCAGGTTGCTGTAAAAAAATATTTGCCTACCTGACTTTTTAAGTCACGTTATTTTCACATAACACACAAATTATCCACATGAAAAAAACTCCTGATATCTAATAGTTTGTCATGAATTATTCATTTCTATAGAAACCTCTGATATAAAATAACATGAACATCTCTGACAAAGATCTTGCATCTGTAAATATAACTTTGTCTATCAAAATAGAATTTTCAAAACTTTAAGAATTCTTACTTTTGCATTTGATTCATAAAATACAGTATACAACTTTGAGAAGATAGATCTTTAAATAGACACATACATATATACACACAAGATTATAAAGGCATGATGGAATATAAATATAAAAACAAGTTATTGTTCTTTTAAGTACAATCAAATTAGAGGTAGGTTTTTAAAATTAAACTCTATATTTCATTTCTTATATTGTATACCCACAAAATCTTGTATTTAGCATTTAACACAAGCATAAATAGTTAATATAAAATTGGTACCATTTTTAGGAGGTTTTTTTCCCAATGAAGCACCATCATCTACAATTTTAAATTAACGGAACAATAAACCAAGGTATCTAAACTGTATCAGTAGAAAGTATAATGGCTGTGTGCTCTTGACGTACCGAGTCACTCCTCAGCTGACAGCTCAGCAAGGACTGTAGTCCTTCTCAGGAAACTTCTTCCTGACATCCACTTGCCCAGGACAACAAGCAGGACATGGAGCAGACACCGGCGAGTGGGTTTGGAGACCATGCGGTGGGTCTGGTCCAGGCCAAGCTGTTCACCCAGTGGCGTCTTGGTATAGTTCAAACAGCGTTGAATTCCCTCCCATGAAGTAGTGATTTCTTCCAAAAGGCCCTGACCAGAGTCATGATTTGCTAAGGTCATCTCAACGTCTTGAAGCAAAGGAAGCAGTGGTTTGACTCCCTGATGAGCACCTGAAGAGAAGGCAGAGCCGTCTGGCTGGACGTCGCGGGAAGGGAAGAGTGGAGAAATGAGCACCGGTTCCTTCCCTGTTCTGGAGAACGGCTCCTCCTGGGCCCCACGTCCCACCTCCTAAGTCACAGCACTTGAACTGGGAGCCCGGCAGTCCCGTGCGGAACGCACTTCCCACAGAGCCCTCCGCACCTGCCGTACACTTTGGTTCCATCCTGAAAACAGGGAAAGGAGGAGACACGGGAGAATCTCATCCAAGCTGGACTCCGAGTGCACACTGAGGAAGAAACAGGCATGCTGACACCGTCAGCCAGGGCCTCTAGACCACGGCATCCGAGGTCACAGGCCACCCCCCTCGTATGAGCTCAAAGTGCCGGACAAGGCCAAGTTAACGGCAGTTAAGTGACCTGCTTCAGATAATCTACTCGGTAATGTGGACACTTACGTAAGCGGACACCTCATCTCAACTCACATATTTCCACCGTGGTATTGCCGTGCTTCAGTGAGTTTACTAAGACCTTTCCCAATTCCTGTCCAGGGTTTGCATGAGTTACACAAAATTCCCTGTGACCACATAAAAGACGAACTTGACCTGCAGCATCTCATGCCAGCGTTAGAGCAACACCCTGGAGGAAAGTGCAGCAGGCAGCAGAATGGAGAAAAGCACGGAGCCTGGGCTGAAAGCTGTCCTCGCAGCTGGGGAGCCCTGGCAGCGGAGCTCACTGGCCCACGCTGGGAAGAGCGGATGGGGGTGGACTCCCAGACCGGCCTCTAGTGGCAAAGACAGACACGGCAGGCCCTGTGAGTGCTGACGTCTAACCACTGGAGGAACTCCTTGTCTTCCTCAGGAAGGAAAGGTTTTTGTTGTTAATCCAGAAAGAAGAGTAGACAAGGAACCTGGGCCCCTGGGACACTGCCTGGGAAGAGTGTGTGGAGGGCAGGGGCTTTGGACGTTACCTTTGCTTGCAGAGCCCTTGGCACCGCAGAGAGTCTGAGTAATCAGAGGGACAGCTTTGTCCACTTCCCTGTTCTCAAACAGACTGATCATGTAGAACTTGATATTCTTGAGGTTGATTGGCAAACAAGAAGGCACTGGGGTCCCAGAACCCCAAGTTTCATACCAGGCATTCTATATCAAGAAATGCTGTCATTTTTTTTTATTGAGGTTAAAGATCTCAGTGAAGTAAACATATAGTTAATATTGGGAATATAAGTTGAAATGAAGTAAAATGAATAATCTAACAAAATATTCATTTTTAGTGGTGACTTCAGCCAGAATTCAGTCTTGACATTTAGCCAACAAATGTCCAAGAGCTGGACACAGTGGACAGAGCATGTCATCGGTCTCACATTTCTATTGGCTAGAAACATGCTTTAAATAAGTGGATTTATTCCCATTCTTCTGCCAAAAGAGATTATACTTAAATATACTAAATATTTCTAAAAAATCCTTTCTTTCTGAAAGCTTTCTTTTTTGTTGTTGTTGTTTTAATTCATTTTTTTTTTTATTTGAAAGGCAGGAAGAGTGAGATCTCCCATCAGCTAGTTCATTCTCCAAATGCTCATAGCACCTGGGGCTGGGCCAAGCTGAAGCCCATCCCCCACTGCAGATCTCCATGTAGGTGGCAGGAACCCAACCACTTGAGCCACCGGCTGTGGCCTCCCAGGCACATTAGCAAGAAGCTGGATCAGAAGCAGAAAAGCCAGGACTAGAGCCAGGCACTCCATACAGACTGTGGTCATCCCAGGAGCAACGTGACTGCTGAGCCAAGCGCCCACCCCTGGTTACCTAACAGGTTATCATTATAACAGGAAGCACAAAAATGAAAATTATTTGGTTATCAATTAATGCACAACTTCATCATTTTCAGAAACTGAATGTTGTAAAGGCTATGACTATCGGATCTACTTATAAACAGTGTCTGTATAAACAGTGGCATTACAGAAGCCACTGTTACTACAACAAAGAAAAACTGCAAAACATTGGAGGGGGCACGGTTGCAGCTGGTGCAGCTTTACGTGCAGGGCTCACGTGGCTGACGACCTTCGTATTGCGGGTCCAGGGGTGGTGCGACAGGGCTTGCTCAGAGGCAGTGACTGTGGCGATTGAAGGACTCTCGTACAGACCCACGTCCCTGCAGCATAGCTGCAGCTGAACTACGTGGATTCTGCTTTGGATACGACAGCTGTGATGGCAAAAGTAACCACAGAAATAAACCGTTACAACAGAAGTAACTGGGCTGTCACAGAGGCACCAGCATTCCATAGTAGAGAGCCAGTTCAAGTCCTGGCTGTCCTGCTTCTGATCCAGCTCCCTGCTAATGGCCTGGGAAGGCTTCAGAAGAGGGCCCACGTGGGAGAGCCAGAGGGAGTTCTTGGCCCCTGGTATCCATCTGGCCCAGCCCTGGCTGTTGTGGCCATTTGAGGAGTGAACCAGTAGATGGAAGGTTTCTCTCTCTAACTACTTTCCAATGAATAAATAAATCTTTAAAAATACATGGATAAATATTATATAATAACCTATATTTGCAAAGTTAAAATAATTAAATGTTACAAAGATATATGTAAATGGAGCCGGCGCCGCGGCTCACTAGGCTAATCCTCCGCCTAGCGGCGCCGGCACACCGGGTTCTAGTCCCGGTTGGGGCGCCGGATTCTGTCCCGGTTGCCCCTCTTCCAGGCCAGCCCTCTGCTGTGGCCCGGGAGTGCAGTGGAGGATGGCCCAGGTGCTTGGGCCCTGCACCCCATGGGAGACCAGGAAAAGCACCTGGCTCCTGGCTCCTGCCATCGGATCAGCGCGGTGCGCTGGCCGCAGCGCGCCGGCCGCGGCGGCCATTGGAGGGTGAACCAACGGCAAAGGAAGACCTTTCTCTCTGTCTCTCTCTCTCACTGTCCACTCTGCCTGTCAAAAAAAAAAAAAAAAAAAAAAAAAAAAAAAAAAAAACAAAGATATATGTAAATGGAAAACATAGGTACAATATAAATAAACCATACAATATCCAAATTCTTGAGAAAACTGAAGAAGACGTTTGTTAGGCGGCCAACGACTGCAGCAGCACCCCATCCCTGAATGAAAGCAGGAGGACGCCAGACCCAAAATTCAATTCTCACTCTGAATGCTAGAAACGGAGAGACCTCGGTCACGCCCAGGACCGAGGCTCCTTTAGAGAATCCACGCAGGAGAGAACCTGGAGGTGTCAGTAACTGTGAGCAGGCTTTCACTGGGAAGACAGCGGCTGCATGCAGAGAAATCACGGTGCAGACACACAAGTGTAGCATCTGCAGGAACACTGAGTTAAAGCTCCATGAATATTTGCTAACGGCAGAGGAATCTCCCTCCACATATGAAATACAGACGCGTCACCAAAGGGGCACGTATCTGTTTTCCACAACGCTCACACTTGAGACCGGGGAGACTTTCATCGGCCTGACTGCACATCAGAGAACTCACAAGCCTTCACGCAGAAGCCACAGCCCGAGACGCACCAGAATTCCACAGTGAAGAGAGACTGCCTTGAATGAGCGTGAAAAGGTGTCCAGCCACAGTCAGACTGCTCACGGAGCGGGAGCCAGCCTCCAAGCTGGCCCACAGTCGCCTTGGCTCCTGGCAGTCACATACGCGTGATGCAGCCAGTCACCTCGGCTGCAGCCATTTTATGTGAACAAAAGACTCAGACGGAATTTAAACACAAGGAGCCAAACTCAGTGCTACCAAAAATTAAAATGGAATAAACAAAATAAAAGGATAGCTTAAAACACGACCTCTACCTGAAGTACTACCTGCAATCACACCACGAGGCAGACGGCGTCATGCCCTGCACTTGGTGTTTCTCACGCAGGCACCCAGAACCTGCACACAGATCTGTGTGTAACAGCCACACACACACATCGTCAATGTCAACACAATGTCTCTTCATAGTAGTTAGTCCCCATGACACACACTATGACCCTCGCACGTGGGAACCCACAGACGCCTGCCTGTAGGTGGAGGACGTTCAGTGCTCACTCACAGGAGAGACGCGGCCCAGGCAGGACTCACCTGGGATCTGCGGATGACGACTGAGGCGTAGTTGCCCTGAGCGAGCCACTTGGCCGTGCTGGAAATCTTCATCCCTGTTCCTGCCAAGTTGATGCTAAACTGTCCCTGGATTTCAAGCAAGACAAAACAAAAATCGACATTCATAAAACACTTAAGGGTGCCCTCGGCTAGAGAGGCCATGGGAATGGCGCATGCAGGGCGCGTCTGGAAGGAGCTTCTCATGGGAAATGACCATTGACACACGCGTTCTGCGAACGAAGTGAGCCTCAGACAGCACCAGGAGCTGCATGGGGGCTGAGCGGGGTCCCGCTGCCCGACCCCCTGACCCCACCGTGGGAGCCCGGGAGCAGTGCTGAGCCACAGGCAAGGCTGGCAGAAGCTGCCCCTGGCACTGACCCCTGCCAGGCTCTGCCACTTCCAGCTTCAAGGCTGACCCCCACCTCCAACCTCTGCAGTGTTGCACTTGTTCCATGGATTTGCTGCAATCTCGTCACTGTGCCTTTCCCTCTTCACCCACCATGCAAAACGAGCGCCCCCTACACAGCTGTGCTGGCTGATGCGTCCTTCCTAAGCATCCAGACGGGTAGGTGGGTGTGGGGCCCCAGGACTCCCATGCACCCTAGTGTGCGGCCCCACGGGCTCTGTGACCTAATGGCTTCCAAGTGTAAGGACCATTTTATCAAAGCATTTCAGACTCTGTTAACAATTCAGCTTCAGATATCTGTTGACTAAGAAAATGGGTGAATAAAATGAGCAAAATGGTATCCTACTTATGTAATCTTACAGCACACATTTATACACCGAGGAGTGAAAGTCCATGCTAATTCAGCCTACTGGCAAAGCTTGCTCAGTAGGCCAGGGTAAGACATTTCTAGATCACATCACAATATCCCAGTGCCCTGGGACTCATGAAACTTGGGTGAGACTGCGGGAAAACATCAGCAAGTGTATTATATTAATGAAAATATTATCTTGTCCTGAAAGCAAAGGCTAAATAAACTTTACTGTGGTTATAATATTGATTATTACCGTCGCTAAAAGAATTAGATATCAAGTTATTCATTTTCGTTTCTTGGCAATCTTAAACAATGTATTTCTTACTAAATACAAAATATCCAGATATATTATGATGACAACAAGTGGTGATTTTGCCATAGCACAAATAAATAAATTCCAAGGACAATGTGTTACACTCAGTATCATCAGGCTGTGGAATTTAGACTCTGAGCTGTATTCTGCCTCACTACTGCATCCCCAGATCCCACAACACAGCCGGGGTACTCAGAGAGCGCTCTGAACTGATGCACAAATAGCTGTATCATAGGAGTCATTTACAGAACACACATGTGAGCACAAACCCTCCAAATGCCATGAAGGTGAATGGTACTAACACTAGACAAAGAAGTATTTTATGTTGCTAAATGCTGGGGTTGGAGTTTGTTTTAAAATTTTAAAATTTAGTTATTCGAGACAGAGAGAGAGACAAAAAAGAAAGCTCCCATCTGCTAGTTCATTCCCCAAACGCCCACAATGGGTAGGGCTGGACCCAGCTGAAGTTGGAAGCTGGCAACACAATCCAGGTGTACCACATGGGCGGCAGGGACCCAAGACCCAGAGTCATCACGTGCTGCCTCCCAGAGTCTGCGCCAGGAAGAAGCGGGAGCCAGGAGACAGAGCCAGGACGGTCCCCCAGGTGCTCGGGATGTGGGACACGAGCATCTTAACCCAGGTTTTAATGCTAGGCCAAACACCCATCCCTGTTGATACATATTTGAAAGAGAACGATTCTTAGTCATTGATCCTGTCAACCCGACAGGTTTCACACTGAATACCTCACTCCACGTTCCTTGGAAGATCGACTTCTCGCCAAGTAAAATTCCTTCAGAATGGAAATACATGCTGTGGTGTAGTCTCCTACGTCCGGAAACCCAGGAGAACCCCAGTGGGGTCATGCAGTGTTTGTACAACCTGATACTGCCGGCCTCTTGCACTCACTCTCTCCGCCCACTGAGACGTTACTGGGCATGCTGAGGCATACGGCATGTTGTTACTGGACACGTACAGGTAGTAACAGGGTTACGTGACGGAAACAAATGCACATGCCAGCACCTCACAGGGTTACCTGTTTTTCTGGCAAGAGCAGCTAAAGCTACAGGACATTTTAGAACGTACAGACCTTGTGTCACATACGAGGTCCCCAGACTTGCTCAGCCCTCGGATCTGCTACTCTGAACCCTCCTACCTCCACCTCCTATTTCCTCCCCCGCCCACCCCAACCCTGGGAACCAAGGGGTAATTGTCTACCTCTGTATATTTGCATTTCTTAGATGCCACACATACGTAAAACCGCACAGTATTTTCCTTTCCATGTCTGGCCTACTTCACTCTGCATAGTGTCTTTCATGCTCATCCACTGTATGGGAAAGGGCCCGATGGCACTGTGTTTGCAGGGCTGAATAATACTCTGTTGTGCTTATGTGTGCACTGTGGCATTCATCCTTCAGGGGATGCTTAGGTCCTGTCCACATCTTTTTTTAAGATTTATTTTATTTACTTGAAATGCAGAGTTACAGAGAGAGGTAGAAAGAGAGAGAGAAAGAGAGACAGATCTTTCATCTACTGGTTCACTCCCCAGAAGGCCACAATGGCTGGAGCTGAGATGACCTGAAGCCAGGAGTTTCTTCCAGGTCTCCCACATGGGTGCAGGGGCCCAAGGACCTGGGTCATCTTCCACTGTTTTCCCAGGCCACAGCAGAGAGCTGGATCAGAAGCGGAACACCAAGGACTCAAACTGGTGCCCATGTGGGATGCTGGCACTGCAGGCTGGGAGTTTTTTTTTTTTAATATTTATTTATTTCATTTGAAAGGCAGAGTTACACAGAGAGAAGGAGAGGCAGAGAGACAGAGAGAGGTCTTCCATCTGCTGGTTCACTCCCTAATTGGCTGCAACGGCTGGAGCTGTGCCAATCCAAAGCCAGGAGCCAAGAGCTTCCGCCAGGTCTCCCACAAGGGTGCAGGGACCCAAGGATTTGGGGCATCTTGTACTGCTTTCCCAGGCCATAGCAGAGAGCTGGGTTGGAAGTGGAACAGCTGGGACTCAGACTGGGGCCCAGATGGGATGCCAGCACTGCAGGCGGTGGCTTTATCAACCACACCTCAGTGCCAGCTCCTCCCTTCCACATCTTGGCTGTGGAGAACATTTCTGCGATGAACTGCTTTAGGTACTGCCTGGGAGAGAGGTTGCTGGGTCACAAAGCAGTTCTATTTTTAGTTTTTCTAGAAACCTTCATACTATTCTCCATAATGGCTGTGCCAATCCACATTCTCACCAACATATATGAAGTTTCCCTCTACTTCATACCCTCCCCAACACTCATTATCCTAATTTTTAAATAGCAGCCATCCTAATGTGTGTGCAATTGTGTCTTAGCATTTCACTGACTTTTCCCTGACTGGCAAGTTTTACACTCCCTTGTTGGGACATCTATTCAGATCCTTTGGCCATTTTTGAATCAGGTTATTACTAATCAGTTGTATGAGTTCTTTATAAGTGCTGGATACTAACCCTTTATCAGGTCTATGCTTTTCAAATGTCTTTTCTCCGTCTGCAGGCTGCCTTTGCACTGTCCTGATGGCCTCCTTGGCTGTGCAGAAACATTTCAGTGCTGGATATAGTCCCACTCATGTGTCTTCACTTGTGTGGTCTGAGCTTCTGCTGTGACAGCCAAAAAACCATTACCAAGGTCAATGTCCAGGAATATTTCTGGCATTTTTAATTCCCTGATTTCTTCTTTAAAACACACGTCATTCAGAAACATGTGGTATAATTTACACATGTGCATGTATTTTCCAAGGTAACTCCTGCTACTGACTTCTGATTTCATATCATTTGGCCGAAAACACTATCAGATATGATTTCAACCTTCTTAAAATTTTTTATTTTTTTAAAGACATATGAATTTATTTGAAAGGCAAAGACACAGAGAGAGAGGGAGAGAGGGAGGGACAGGGAGAGATAGAGAGACAGAGACAGAGAGAGAGAGAGTCTTCCATTTGCTGGTTGGCTCCCCCAAATGGCCACAAGGTCATGGCTGGGCCAGGCTGAAGCCAGGCACCAGGACCTTCTGCCAGGTCCCTCATGTGGGTGCAGGGCCCAAGCACTAGTGCCATCTTCTGCTCCTTTCCAAGGCACATTAGCAGGGAGCCAAATTGGAAGTGGAGCAGTCAGGACTCGAACTGGAGCCCTTGTAGGGTGCAGGCACTGCAGGTAGAGGCTTAACTTTCTACTCCACAACAGTAACCTTTGTCTTAAAATTCTTAAGAATTGGGCAGGCACTGGTCTAATTGTGAGTGCAGTGGAGGATGGCCCAAGTGCTTGGGCCCTGCACCCCATGGGAGACCAGGATAAGTACCTGGCTCCTGCCATCGGATCAGCGCGGTGCGCCGGCCGCAGCATGCCAACTGCGGCGGCCATTGGAGGGTGAACCAACGGCAGAGGAAGACCTTTCTCTCTGTCTCTCCCTCTCACTGTCCACTCTGCCTGTCAAAAAAAAATAAAATAAAAAAAAATAAAAATAAAAAAGTGGAATTAGGATACCCATGTCACAGAGTACCTGAGTTTGATTCCTAATTCCAGTTTCCTGCTAGTATAGACCCCAGGAGCCAATGGGAGATCCAGACTCCATTCCCAGCCCTAGCCTGGCCTTAACTCTTGAAGGCATTTGGGGGAGTGAACCAGAGGGTTTGAGCTCTTCTCTCTCTCTCTCTCTCTCTCTTCTCAATCTCTCTTCTCAATCTCTCTGCTTCATAAATAAATAAAACACAATAATTTTTAATTATAAGACTTGCTTTGTGGCCTAACATGGTTTATCTTGGAGAACAGTCCATGTACACTAGGGAAAACATGCTTTCTGCTGCTGTTCCATGCAAAGTCCTGCACTTGTCTGTGAAGTCTATTTTGTGAAAAGTAGACTCAAGTCCAGCATTTCCTTAAGACTTTTCTGGTTGATTGATCCAGTGCTGGGAGCAGGGTACTGAGGTACTGTAGCACTCTCCATTTCTCCCCTCATGCCTATCGACACTGGCGTCATGCTTTTAGCTGATGC